AGGCGCAAGCCTACCTTTCCCTCAAATATACTGACTGACTGACTGACTGAGGTGATGGTATCTATCAACATTAAAAAACGACACATGTACTGTCTAACTGCACTTTTACTCATTAGAATTGACAAGCAGCTAATAGACCCGTCCCTACCTCAGCAAGCATATAATCCATCATTAGTCGCATAAAGTAAAATATTAGATAAACATAGAATAACGCATCAAATGGATCACAAACGCAAACCGGAAAAGAAGATTGAAGATTTTCCACAAATGAAACAATTATGAGACACTTGCAACAATTCTCTTATTGTATGGTACCATGTCAACAATTGAAACCAACAGTTTTTGCCAGTATACCCCACAATTTTACGTTGCATATATGGAGCTATGTGAAAACTTATTCCATGTAGGTGCACTTGTTCAATCTTGTGTGAATTGCCTTATTTTTAATCAAAATACCTCAAAACTTAATACGTTTTCCTATTAACACATGTTTCCATCAACCCAGTCCACATACGTAAACTAAAGCCAGTATCACCTGTCACAATTTCCTTGCTTTTGCCAACCCATGGTAAAGAAGTTTTAGTTATTTTTCTCAGATTATTTAAGTGCAACCAGGAAAATATGTCCCCTTAACGTTTTACTCAACCAGCATAAGGTTAATGCAGGGTAGTCATGACATTATTGTGGTACCCTTTTAAAAATGAAGTCACGTTTGGAAATGGAATCGGAGAAATACAAAAATAAATTAATATCTCTTAAGGATAAGGATTCCTACAACACGTAACTCAAGTTTAAAGTATATGTCAAAGATATGAACATTTGAAGGATTGTATAAGACTCGCAATAACCCATGAACCTCGTCCGTTTCCATATTCACTACGCGGTCTTAGTGCAATTGCCGAAAAGGAGCACAAAGGCCAGTCTTGGAATATGCTGGAGAAACCGATAGCTGTGGCTTTTTCACAAGCTGAAAAGAAAATTTTTTCGGTTGGCTTTAAATTAAATTATTAATTAATGGTTAGTCTGAGGAGGAAAATTTAGAAAGACAAATTGATGATGCGGACGGTCCACTGCAGAATTTAATGAATTTCTCCTTTTATCACCGGCGCTGCAGTGTTGGCTTAAGCAGTGATGAATATGTTAAGTTTCTTCTGTCGATGAAGTCCATTTGTGAAAAGTTTCCCTTGACTCACGTTCGGTTCTGGGGAAAAATATTTGGAATTCTGCAAAATTACTATATAATTGAAACGGAGGTAGCGGAAGGCGAATTAATTCCAGACTCTGATGACGAGGATAAAATTGAAAGAGAAGATACTAATCTTGCCGATGAAGATAAACAATCTTCCTCTCCAGGTATTTTTCTCCAGACTGGTGATAATCAGTCGGTATCTGCAAATATTGATTGCCTCAATTTTCAGAAACAGTTAGTGCGTTTGTATATGCCTACATTATTTTTTGTTAATCCTCTACTGAATATTATCCATTTGGTTCTGTTTAATATTATTTTTAACTCACGAATTGGTTGATTTCCTTATATGTCGTTAGAGACGATTGCCTTCTTCGTTTGCTTCACTATTGTTGTGCTTTTAACGGCGTACGTGCAGCAGTGCAAACCTCAGCCTCGTTAAGTAATGGAATGTTGAATGCTACAGAATTGAATTAGCGACCGCAAAAACTGACAGGCTGACACTTATAGCAAACATTTTGAACAGCTAACGAAAAGCAAAGAATATGAGTGGTGTATATGTGAAGGATTGATAACTTCATCTGATTTGTTTGAGTAATAGCAATTTCATGCTATATGCTTTATTATTATACAGTCTCTCTGCCTTAAAACCAAACCGAATTGTCATTTCAAAGTACGCAATGGTGTGACTATATGTTGCATTTCCGTTTGGTTCAATGGGAGAAAAACTGAAAACCCTATATTATTCGTTGCATGTTACCGTAGTTCTTCGACTCTTAAAATTACTGTTAATACTGAGAGAGCAATTACAATTATCTCCCTACCCTGTAAGCAACTGGAGTTAAATTTTCCTGGAACGGATTTTGAATTGAATTCCACTTATTAATATAATAAGGATTGACCGGCCTTTAAGATTAATACCCCAACTTCGCACTATTCGAGAAAAGCGTTCGCAATTTGGAAAACTATGCGGCCGACTAGCGCAACTAGGCCCCATCCCTAGCTAAAAATTTGTTATCCATAAGGGTAAATTAGATGTAATAATATAGATTGTTTAATACGTCAGCTACTGGGGCGAAATATTTGCAACCCCCTCCGCATAAAGTCGAAGAAGATCACATTAGCCAGGAATTTGGCCATGTAATACCGTTTGCACTATTGGTGATTATATGTTTCAGTAGGTTGTTTGGATTTAGGCTCTAAAACGAAATCAAGCAAACCCTTCCTATAATGTGTAACGAGATTCTCTTCAGTATTTCTATCTCCCCTAACACCTAACTCGTAAATGAGTTAGGGACGCGTCGTCCTCAAGCCAGTATATCTTCAAGTCTTTCTTGTAAGTCCAGACTATTCTGAATCGCTTTCTTCTGTATCTGATCATCATTTATGAGTTCCAACAACGCGTATATTCCAAACAGACAAAATTTGGAGTATAATTGCTTACTGCGACGTTATCAATTTATCCACTTGTTGACTGCATGATTCAGTTTTCAGACTTAACAAATTTCTGGGTCCGTTGTTTAATTGCAATTCAGTGATAATATTTTCTGGTTATTTACGGAGTCAGTGTCCATCAGCCGAGGTTCTACTGATGTAACTCTATATCATAATCAATAAATAAATCAATACTTTAACATTTCTTTCAATGAAACCCTGTAATTACCTTACCAAATGCTCAACGATGTGTGTTTTTGTCTTCAGAGGATGACTACCCAAAACGCCGATGGAAACCACCTCCAACCGTTCCACCGGAGGAGTTTCGCGAGGGCGTTAATAAATTTGTCTACTTCGTTTGCCACTTTCCTGGCGGCAGGTGGTTTCGTTTGCCTCATGTCAAGCCCCAGCAGATATGTGTTGCACGTCAGGTAATGCTGCGGGTATTTAAAATAGTTAGATGCGCACATAAGCTTGTCAGCAACTAGTGCACAATCATTTTGGCTAGTTAAGCGTTTTGGTCTTTTCGACGTTACTTTTTGGTTTCCAATCCAGCTATATGTATCTAGAATAGTTTTTATTGAATATAATGTAGCTATAGAAGCGGAAGGCACATAGACACCCGGGATTATGCTTTTATTCTTCCGTACGGTGATTGGTGTGCTTTCCTCGGTGAGGTTGTCTCTAGCGGTCTTTCGAAGGTCCTTATGTATTATAGCTACCT